GTCAAAACATTAACCGGTAAAACAATCACACTCGAAGTCGAACCAAGCGACACCATCGAGAATGTGAAAGCGAAAATCCAAGATAAAGAGGGTATACCACCTGATCAACAACGTCTCATTTTCGCCGGAAAACAGTTAGAAGATGGTCGCACATTATCAGATTATAACATACAAAAAGAGTCAACATTACACTTGGTTCTTCGTTTACGTGGTGGAATGCAAATTTTCGTCAAAACATTAACCGGTAAAACAATCACACTCGAAGTCGAACCAAGCGACACCATCGAGAATGTGAAAGCGAAAATCCAAGATAAAGAGGGTATACCACCTGATCAACAACGTCTCATTTTCGCCGGAAAACAGTTAGAAGATGGTCGCACATTATCAGATTATAACATACAAAAAGAGTCAACATTACACTTGGTCTTACGTCTTCGTGGCGGTGTTTGATTGGTCGGCCACAAGTGAAGAAACAATAACAAAAACTCGTATCTAATCACATCTGTTTTTTTGTCCGTGTCATTTAGTTGGTTTGAAATTTTTTTTGTATTTAAAAAGACATTTTGTCATGAAGTATACAGTTGTGGCTTTTTTAATATTGTTTAACCTGCAGAAGGTAACATGAAAAGAAAATAAACGTTCTATATTGTAAAAACAGAAGTGATTTGCTTGTTCGAAGATTTGTCTCATCGTCCGTTGGCGAAGAAATTATTTAAATTGAAGCATAATATTATTGAGGTTTGCTGATGTTTTGATGTGGCTGAAAATGCATTAATACTATAATAAAACGTTATAGCTTAGTAAATTCAGACCAAAGTATACATATATTCATTAACATTCATACTCAACAAAGGCAGAAGTGGTCAGGTTTACCTAATTATTTGGAAATATACAAAATTTCTTTTTTTGCGCATTTGTTTTGTGTACATGGTACTTGTTATATTTGGTTAGAACAGCACATCTCTCACTTATTTCTTTAGTTCGTGGTCTTACCTTATCAAACAGCCGCTTTCGGACTGAATATATTAGGATATACTTATCCTGTTCATATTTTGCTATACGGCACAATAAACCCCAACAAGAAAGACTTGTACGCAGTATAAGGAAGACTTGCTTCTTAGCACTGATGTTTCGAATGGAAGGTGCTCGCACACGATAAATTTGAAACTATATCGTACACATTTTTAAACGAAAACATGACACGATGTTTGTGTTTTTTAACTAGAACTACACGTTCATATGCAGTTTCTGTATTTTATTAAACCTTATTAAAACAGCTTCAAATGTCATAGTTCAGAGAAAAAAAGTAGGATAGTTGAATTAATCCTTTTCTGTAATTTGTGTTTCGATTTCTACTTTGAAATTACGTTTTCTAATTTCCTCTAAGAATTTATCAGCATTAAAATATTCCTCAGGAGCATAAACACCTGATTTTCGAGTCGTTTCAGTATTCAAAAATTGTTGAACACCAATTGACATTGACATCGACGTGCACGCATCAACATATTCGTTATACATTGGATCCGGTAGTCCTATCATACGTGCAGTTACACGACAAGAATTACCTTCTTTAACCCCTTGTCCAATGGCAAAATGAATCTCGTGTAGTTCTTGATCAGGAATTCGCTTTTTATGCCGTTCTATATTGCGATCTATGACCGCTTGGAGAACGTCAACGGGACGAACAGACGTTCCATTTGGCAATGTCACATCTTCATCAAATGATTCTCCAAAACCAGCCTTTACTAACCCAATCCATGCTTGATGTTCGCGTTCAGGTAACGATAATTTCCATGTAAACTCTTGCATACCCTTTTCCTTGATCCCGTTAGCAAATGGAACAGTTAGTGGTTCAGAATGTTGTGAATGCATAAAACTGGTTTTACCAAAAGGTTCCGGCAGATCTATAGTTTCAAAACCACTTTGTGCTGGAACTTGCTGAAGTTTTCCATTCAGAAATTGCTGACTGGGATTAGTATATTCAGCTAGTACCGTTGACAAGTTATACGGAGGAATCAATATTGGATTTTCATCACCAATAAGTTTTGCTGCCCAATATAAATTAATCTTATCGATCTTATCAAGACGATCAGCGACAACTCGACACAAGATATTAGATAACCCTGGATCCGCGCCTAGTCCTAAAATGGCTGTTATTCCAGCCTTTTCCCATTGATCATGCTCAGCCTTTTGTTGGACAGTGTAGATACCCATACCTCCGTAATCAACGTAATTCCGTTTTGCTTCGAAGCACGCATGAAATATATCCATTTGAAGGCCTGCAAAAGTGGGCACAGCGTTAATACAGACGTCACATTTAGCAAGTAATGACAGGATGATTTGTCTATCGGTAACATCGATAATGTGGGTTTCAATACGTGAATCGGTTAATGATTGACGAAGAATATCCAGACGTTCATTACTCGAATCGGCAATTATGAGTTTTTCAATTGAATGTGAGTAGGTCGCTAGTAAATCTCGAGCAGTGCCAGATGACATGCGTCCAGCACCACCAAGAATCAAAATTCGTTTCATATTGCCCAGCGTGATCAAATCACACGCACCTGATTCTAAAACATGAAGTTATATAAATCATGAACTATGCTGGTATTTTAAGCGGCCTCTAGTATATTACATAAAAAAAGAAGGGATAATGCTTGTTTTCCTTTTTTTATATTAATGGTTTCGGTGGACGCTTAACTGAAGATTCGACGTATTTCATGGGAAAAGAAAATACGTTGTATGACAACAATAACTGGTTATTGTGACTTTGAAAATTACCCGTAAGAGTCAGCTCTTCGTCAAAAATGTATTGAAAAATATTATATATTTATTCTAACGTTGTCCTAGAAATGGTGGGAGAAAACAATTTTTTTTTTTCGATATATCAGCTGCATTTCTCGTACTCTGTCTCTATTCGTAAAACAAAAAGATGTTTTTTATCTCTAATACAAGTAGTATTTATTAAGTAGAAGTACTTGGATAATCGCAATCTATCTAAGCAAGCACATTATTATCGTCACAGTAATACACAGTTATCTTTTTATTGACATAAAACCTGATTACTTTTGACATTTACAGTTTAGGTTCACTAGTTTTCTGTCAGCTTAATATCTGCAGTGGCAGCGCAACCGTGGGGCGAGGGGAAGTGTAGACCGTTGCTATCATAAATTTCGGTGGAAAGTTGCTTCGGTTTTGTGAAAGAAATAGAGTGAATTTACTCTGATTTTTGAAATTACAAACCCCTGCTTCAATCTCTTCTCGCCACCACTGAATACCTATTATAATATGAATTTTATCTAGGGCTCGCTGTGAAACTCTTTTACAAACAATTTGCGTCTACAATCATAGAGATATCTTAGCTTCTTTACTCTGAAAAGACATAATAGCGCTGGGTCCATAATCGGCACAGTAAAGATGGCGCCAAGCTTGCACTTATGGATCCAGTAGCTTTATGATAGCTCTGAGGATGATTTTTCAGTCTCTCAAGAGTTATCGAAATTTCAGGTTAAAAGGTTGAAACCGAGGCGGTACAGTATATTACGGCTAAAATTAGCTATAGAAGTTTGGACGGTTCGAAGCTTACACATCAGTATCTGGAATTAATACTTCTCTATCAGACTAGACTATCTGCTATATTCTGGCGAAGAAAAATCAGTATCAGATGTGGTTAGTCCTAATTTATGATGTGAGTAAGCTTTTCGGTTAATTATAGAGCGAAAATCCGTTGTGCTCTAATTCTCATGATCGAAAAGTGAATGTTATGCTACAGATATTTCTTATTCCAAGAAAAATGATATCAGAAATCGATATCAGATTAGCAGACTGTATGTTACGCCTAAGCTACCTAACGCATGCGCCGACAAAAATATCAACAGAAGCACAGTTCTATCTTAGTGATTGCCAACCGGACAATCCTCTTGCGGATGTTTCTACTTACCGATTTCAATACTACCAAATGTTCCGGTTGCTACAGTCCTATACCTTGAATCTGCATTCTACAGTTAATTGTTTTTCAAAACTCATACACAGAAATGAGTACAGAATCAGATATTTGTTTCTTTGCCACAGAATTAACGCCACCTTCGTTGTGTAATGGGACCTTACTATTGGTGACTGACCTCGTTCATGATTAAGAGATTAAAGTTAAATGATGTTGAGAACATGAGTTAAGTTCGAGTTAACTTTTGTACTAATCATTTTTCTTAATACTGAATTAAGGTTTGTAGTCTATAAACGTAGCCTATGTTGTAGAGGGATAAACAGATATTTATTACTCAGCGGCCTCTTCAGAACATGAAATATCGGCCACAGTACTAGATTGGAGAAAACAAAAGCCAACAGCTTTTTTCTGCCAAGAAATACCGGCTGTTATTATGTTCAACTGGCCTAGGGAATATCAAGTTCTTCTTCTCGATAATATAAGCGAAATCTGAATATTGTCATGGTAACGATTATCTAATTCCAACTACTACAGTATTATGATCAGTTATTATAAAAAAAATAGGTTTTGTTTATCAAAAAAAACATTCCGGAATGAATGCATGAATAAATCAACAATTTTTCTTAACCTTGTAAAAGAAAAGAGATATCTGGCTAGATCGTTGGTAATCATCCCTGAGAAAAATGTTTCGATTTGATCGAATCAATTGCCTTCTTGTTATGGTGTCAACACTAGTATATAATGGTCATTGGTATTTTCAGAAAAAATTTTTCGTTTCTTAATAAACGACACTTGGATTGAGATAGTTCCCTTTGGTACCAGTAGTAGGATCGCAACACTAGAGAAGATTCTTGCGGTAGTACTAAAACAAAAAAACGGGTTCTTTTTTAGTTCAGAATGTTTGCAGGTTTTTTTTATAACCAGCAAAAAATCGGACTAATCGAGTATATTTTTCAATCTCTTGTTATGAAGCTCGTTAGAGTATGAGCCTCTTAATAAGAAACGTAAAACTTCGAAATTAAAAAACATCCAAGCCTATTCGAGTCTAGTATATGTAGTAAAGATTTCAGATTAAGTGAACAAAGTCTTTATAGCGTTAGTACAATGGGAATTTTTTGGTTTTGTTGAGGTGTTATTTTCTTGGTTTTTTATGTTCTTTTATTAGATTTAATTATCAATGCTTCGAAATTAATTTTTAATTCCTTGATTTTCTCGAAAGATTTATGAATCTATTTGCCAATCGTATATTATTCTGTGGCTCAGAACTCGAATTCAGTAAAGCTAACTGGTTTTCGTTGATAATATAGTTAACGTTAATGTTTGTACCGATCATCCTACTTCCGAGATATATTATATCGTAAACAACAAAAAGAATTTGTGGACATAGCAATGAATTATCGCCATAATCAATTTATACCAGTTGTAACATATACAGAACAAGAAACGTAAACATGGTCAACTGCCTTTAGAGAACTTACTCAGTTATATCCATCACATGCTTTTAAAGAATTTAACAACATATTGGCATTGTAAGTTTTCTTTCTGAATCTGTTCTCTACAGTACAGACATTTTGAAAAGACAGTTATAAATAGGGACTTCTTCTTGGGCTCTGTACAGTTTTAGCTGCCTCAGCAGACTACTAACCTTCTGACAGATGTTCTTAACAGATTTTTTTGCGTATTCAAAGAAAAAAGTCTGTATTATTTAGGCTTGTTGATAATTGTGGTTACAGCGGAAAATCTCAATTAGAAGATGTATCCCAATTTCTGAAAGATTGTACTGTTTTTCAACGTTTCATTCAACACAATATATTTGACATTACAGTGTACAAATGTAAATTCTAGAGTCTGACGTAGTATTACGTATCGGACAGCCCTGCCATCATTCCATTTGATCTGGCCCAGTCTACTATTCAGCCACATCCAATCATATTATTTCAATTAGTTTACTTTCTTACACGAGTTTCAAAGATGTTAAATAGAAACTAAAACAAGTTTTTCAAAGCGCGTAATAATTCGTTTCTGTCTCTCTGTAATGGTCGATAATTTTTTCAGACAATATGCTCTGACAAATTCCACGAGCGTTTGCTGTTGACAACAATCCTTATATACTGAAGTTATTAATCGCACAGAACAAATAGTTAATATGTTTCGTGTTCATGATAAGTGATGCATATATGAAATAGTATCAATATCATATAGAGGTTTCTTTTATTTATTCAGGAGAAATAGACATATTATATGTATTAAATAAACTGATAATAGTTAACATTCATACAAATTAATTGATATATCATGTTTTCTTTTTCTGATGCAATAACAAAACGAATGAATGAACTGCTTACTTAGTTTTAGGTTGTTTTTTTTTGGTTTGTTCTTATAATTATTTTGTTAGTGGTCTTTTTTGCAGCGCAGTAGTTTTTTTTTCTTGTTCAATTATACCAGCTAATGATAATGTCGACTATTTAGTATTTATGTGAGTTTGAATGACATCCATTTTTATAGTGTATTCATGCAGTTTTCTTGTTACTCACAAATAAAACATTGAAGTTTATAGTTTAGAGATTTTTTTCTTACCATCATGTGACTAATCAAGAGTTTCGTGCATTTATAATAGTATTTTTGAAGACGTTCCATGTACAAACGAAAATTTTCGCAAACAAATAGGAGTTTTTCCTTCAGCTGAATATTTTTTCGTGTGTGTTTATCGGTGGTTCAGTGGGTGATATTGTTTTTTGATATTTTACTAATATCCATGAATATCAAGTTAACCATTTTGATGCCAAGGATTTACTTTCCTAAACGACTAGATAAAAGTTGTTTATAACAGACTAATGAACTTTTGTCATGCATATTGAATGGAAAGTATCCAGGAAGAGAGTTCTTTTTGTATGATTCATTGAGGTTTTTTTTGTTTTCTTTTTGCATAGTCTAGAAGCTTAGGTTATGAGCGTTTTTGAAACATACAGTATAGTGATTCTTCTTTCAGATTATATTTTCTATTTTTTATTAAAACTTTGCTCCTATTTGAATAATGCAGAGTTTAAAACGTGTTTTCACAATTAGTGGAACATACACACATACTGATGATTCAATGGTAAAGTACGTGAAGTGAAATAATTAAAATCTTTGCTTATATAAAACGATAACATAGCGGGTTTCTAAAACAGTCTGTTATTTTTCTAATATAAAACTCTTTTCGTTATCTTTAGATTACCGGGTTTTCACTTGCTACAATTTTCTTTCTTTGTTTTTATCTTGAAATGTTTTTATCTTTGTGTTAATTTGTGAAGTTTGAAAAGAAAACAGGACAATGAACAAATTAAAAGATTTTGCGACCGGGCAGAATATAGAAAATGACCAAAGTACAATAAATTTGGTAATAATGAGTGAAATATTAGCTCAAAAATCAAATATATGCCATCTTGACTGCTTGCCCATTATCTATAGAAACTAAGCTGCTTGATTTTCTCTTGATTTTTTGTGATTTGATATATCAGATGTTTATTTTAATGTTTGCTTTAATTAGCAGGAATATGTCAACGAGGAATTAAAATAGTGTGCTTTATTCTTTGTAGGTTCAAAGTCTCTCATGGAACACGCGCATAAAAGGATTTGCAATTTGTTTTGGCCTTGGTGCTATCTTTGGTGTGGTTGTAAGTGACTTTTTTAAATTTTGTATGTTCTTATGTACAATTTTCTCTTCTATTATCAGTCTGTAATTGTATTTATGACTTCTGGAAATTTAACTGTTTTTGCCATACTGTATACATTTGCCAATATATTTGCGCTTGGATCGTACGTCAAAGCCAAATATCATCTTGTTTATGCTTTATTAATTTTATTAATTTTTTTTCTTTAGTACAATCTTTTTGATGGGACCTCTTAATCAGTTAAAGAAAATGTTTGCTGAAACACGAATTATCGCTACTATCATCTTTCTAGTATGTGTTAAAGCTTTACTAGAAATACATTTTTCGTTTTAAGATTGACTTCTAATCTACTCTAGATTTGTTTGATTATGACACTGGTTTCAGCATTAGCCGTAAGTAACATGAGTTGTGGGTTTGTTTTCTACAGTATGTAGACATTTTAGATACATTTTGTGCGTGTGTCGCATTTCTAAGAAGTGTAGTTTTAAGTTATTTTTCTATAGCATGAATTTTGTTGTCGTTTTTCTTCTTTTAGATTAAAATTGGAATACTCGTTCTTCTTTTTGTTATATTACAATTTTTGGCTTTAATGTGGTACACATTATCTTATATTCCGTTTGCAAGGTGCGTTTGTTTTCATTTCACTCAACTTTTCTCAATAAATGTCGTTTCAATACTACTACCATTTTTACATTTATATAATGTTTTTTTATATTTAGAAATGCTGTGAAAAGTTGTTGTCAAGGATGTTTAGGCGTATAATAATCGCACATGTTTCTTAAATTGTGCAATATACAAAAGTATCTTCATTAGTCTCATTTTATTGTTAATTAATATTTCGAGAATGTATTGTGATAAATAAATATTGTCCAGAGAATGTGATAATTATTTTTTTTAATGGTAAAGTGTAAACTGATTTTATTTTTTCTCTTATCTTGTCACAGTTAGCCTAATAAAAGATTAACCGTCCCAATCACGAGCTTAAAATTGATAAATTGTTTTAATTATTTTTATCTTTCAACTTATTTATATATCCAGAATTGTTGTGAAACTATGTCTCTAACTATTTTTGTCAATTATCTTATAAAAAAAACTTTTCTGTTTTACGTTTTTGCAGACAGACTTTTTTTGTTATCTTTATCTAATTCATTAGTCTTCTCAAATAAAAATATTCCTCTTATCTTAATCTCTTTTATTTTATTGTTTGAATTTTTTCAATTTAAACGATTTGTGGTTTGTCTGTACTGTTTATTTGATATAAATTTCGTAGAATGTTGCTACTCGAAGAGTAAACTTTTTCTGATAATCAATTCCAAATTAATAGAGAAAAAATCGAGATAGATGGAGATGTTATCTTTGAATATTATGCGTAAAGGAGGTGACACAATAAAAGACTCGGGTCTTCTATTCTGTCTGCAAGAATAAAGTTCTTAGAGAGATCTTCTATTGTGTCTCTGAAAGAAAGCTGTTTTTGTTAGACTTAAACATTTTGTCATTTCATCATGTGTGTCTCCTTTCGCTCTTCTCCATGCGCTTCAAAGGAAGAGAAAGTTTGCTTTCAATAGAAAATATCTATTATCGCGTGAGACTTATAATTAAAAAAGTGAAAAATAGGAGGGGCCTTTTATTTTGACTTTTACAAGATGAGTTCAAGGAGGATCTTATAATGTGTCCACCCCTTTACTCATGTGAGTTTTATATTGACAAAGTGTGCCCTTTATAGATTCTTTTAAATACTTTTCTTGATTATTACATATTTCTAGATTATAACGTGATTATCATACTGAAAACTTTAATGTTCTGGAAACAAGAACGATGTCTCTATTAGGAACGGAAAAAATACCATTAACATCTTTGCCGTTTATGAAAGTAAAATAATTTGTTTTTTACATGAGATACTGTTGTATTTTTATCATGATAATTGCTATTGTTGTTTAGAAACGCTTAAAACGAATTACAACTGTGTCATTACGAAATTTGACATTAAATGAATTTGATTTTTTTGTTCATTTTACATTACATCGTGCAGATAATACTATTGGTAAATTTCGTTCTTAGTTAATAATAAAAATAGTTAATTGTTAAATAAATAATTTCATGATTTATCGTTTTAGCATTTTACACAAGTGAATGTATGGAAAATGAACGTGTAACTAATTACATTTTATTGTGTTTTACTATAATTTAACTAATATTTTGCTGTATTTATAGAATCCAGAATGGACAAATTTGATATTTCCCAAATCTGTTCAGTGCCTGCAAGGTAGTTTATTTATACAAACTAAACTAAGAATACTCGTCTAATTTATGTCTATTTTAGATTTTATTATGCGTGTATGGGTAACATCAAAAAATAGAAAATTGAATAATAATATTTATAATCCAATAAAACGATTATTTATCGAATATCAAATATATTTAAATGATTTGAAACCTGATACAGACGTAAGAGGTAAGGTAAGGAAGATATTAGAATATAAAAGATGTTATATTAGATATTAAGAAAAAAAATCAGTTTTATTCTTTATTTTAGGATTATGATCGAATAAATTCGTTGTGTTTGGAAATGTTTGGGTATTCATTTGGTGATAATGATGAAACGAATGAGTTAGAACAGAATTCAAATTTTAAAATACCGAATTCTCTATTACGTTATCTACATAAATCATATACTAGAGAAAGTATTTACAGGTAAAATACAGAGTGAAATTAAGATTAAATAGATTTGTTATGCAGTACTCTACTTTTTTTTTCATTTTTTTTCAGGATAATTAATGTTATTAATGCAATACAAAATGAGAAAGACTTATCAAAAATTTGTTTACATAATCTTCAAAAGTATATTACACCAAATCAAATTTATTCTGAAGCAGTATGTCATATTTGAGGTTCGTTTTTAATTGTAAAAATGGTATATGTAATCTTTTTTTATCGTAGATTAAAGAACGTGAAACTCGACAATTGAAAGTAAAATGTTTAAAACATCATTCTAATATACAAAAATATCATTTAGATATCCAAAAATATTTACAAAATAATAAACGAACAAAAGTTGATGAAAGGAGTATGTATCAAAATTTTTATTATATTCATTTTTATATTTGTAGAATTTGTTTTTCTTCACAGAGATACAACTAGAAAAAAATTTCACATTATTACATGAACAACAGGAAGATCTGATTTTAATTGACAAAAATATTGAACAGTCAAAGTAAATAAATTTTTAACTTTATCAGCTAGTCTAACGTGGATATATTGTTGAATGGTGATATCGGAGTATTTGATAGAAAAGAATATTAAATTTAACTTGATTTTTGGAAGTATCTTACTCAATATGAAATGTTCATAAATATTTGACCATAGTTCATGTTCTTTGATTAAATTCAAAACTTAACCATTCAACTAATATTAAAATATTTTTTATTCTAGATCTATTTTACGTGAATTAAAACAATTGGTGATCTATCGTCAAAATGAAATCGTAAATGATATAGCACGCTATGTTTATCCAATATCAATTAATTCCATGCATGAATATTGTATTGCTGGCCTTAAATTACCACAAGCTGAAGATAAAATACTTCAATCAACGTACGGTACGTAGAATTATTTTTCTATTGTTTTTTTTCATTCTTGTTTCTTTATATATATAGGACGTGAACGAGACAATGATGCAATATCGATTGCTATAAATTATTGTTGTCATTTTGTGTTAATTATTTCACAATTTGTTCAATTACCATTACGTTTTCCAATCGAATATAATAGTTCAATTTCGAAAATATTTGATTATACTCTGTCATCTAGCGAAAAAACGATTGAGTATGTTTTTTTTCTTCATCTATAATATTTTTTTATTGGAATATTCAATTTATTTCTAGATTTCCACTCTATATTCATAATGATTTAAATGCATTTCATTATGGATTTTTTTTGTTAAATCGTAATATTGGTCAAGTAAGAATTGAAGAAGACATTGCATGTTCGTTTATCGTCATGTAATGTATCGATCTTTGTCTACTGTAGATGATGTATCATTGTCGAACAATTGGTCGTAATACTGATTATCGAAAAACATTAGAAAACTTAAAAGATTTGATTGATCATCATTTTTCATTATCAAATAATTTTAAGTAAATAAAAGAAGAAAAAAAACCAATGCTCATGTTATCTGATAAAATTTTATATCTCTCTATATTTTGTTTAGTAAACGTTTTAATGGATCAATTTACGTAAGTTTATTTGGATGTTGTTTACTTTATTTCTAACGCTTACGATTTAGTATAAGTGAACAAACCATGTTTTATTGTTCGTTTTAATTTGTAGTGTTAGAAGTTGTTATCTTGTTTCTTAAATAGAATGAATTGTTAATAAGTTTTAATACTGTCGGAGGCAATAATCAATCAACGGTCATTTCAAAAGTGTTATCTGTAGTTTTACAGCCGTTCTGCAGTATTAATACGCGTGTTGCATGAAGAAGTTATCCTAAGTAACCAGCAAAACTGTCGTATAGATTTGTCGAGTTAGAATGTGTAATTAAATAGTTTTTTAGATAATCATCAAAAAATCAAAAATTTTTTTAATAAAAAGCAGTTTTCGACTAACAGTCACAGAATTTTTGCGTCTAACCCATTTAGTAAATATATGACTAGTTTTTAAGTAATAAAGAGATAGCAAATCCAAGAGTTGAAAATAGATTTTTAGAGGAATTTTAAGTTTTAGGAGTTTTACTTGATTTTATGTGCGATAACTATTTTTTTTCTATTTTTATGTTCACTTCATTCTTTAAAAACGCAGGAGTGATTTCAGAGAGTATATTGGGCTTTTTCTTCTAGAATTTCTTAAAAACTGAAGTTTGAGCTCTTTTTTTTACTGCAGACGAATAGTGGATAAAATCACAATTTTCTAGGATTAAATTAAATTTATTTTTAAATGATCATTTGAAAAAGCATCGCTAACAGCCCTTAGGAAATTTGGTTCAATCGTTGATAGATCATTTTTCCATGCAGCACACCTATTAGGGAACAGCATATTACTCTTGAGTACAAGATATGCTATTCTGATGATTAAAGATATCTTGTTAGATGAAAGTTTGTCCTGTCTGATATTCACACTTATACTGTTTCTGAATGACTGTAAATGAAACATTGTAATTCTTGTAAGTCACTTTTTCTTTGTCCTTTAGTTGAGTATTTTCTCAAAAATTGTTTAACTGCAAGGACGGTTATTTTGTTGTCATCATTATTAATTAATGTTCTTGTTTTCTATTAAGACTTCATCCGTACACTCGTCAATGCACTCAACACTCAACTTATCGGTGTGATAATGTAACGGAAACTACATTCTTTTCTGAAGTAAAGCGTGATAAATCCTCTTGATCGACGTCTACACACTCATTAAGATCCTACACATTCAAACCAATGGTTGATAATGATTATCAAAACTGGTCCATATCATCATCATCATCATCATCATCAACGACAACAGATTCAGTCAGATGATAGATAAGATAAAAACTGATTTATACTCGGCACTAAATAAGAAAACCGATTACTTTCAAATATCAAAATTAACATTAACAGAACAATTTTTTAAGCAGAAACAAATAAAATTGAGTGACAGATAGTCGAAATGAATAAATAAATGCCTTGATCATTTTTTGCTGTGAACGAACTACCATTTTTTTCTCTTAAAGTTATAACGGTGATATCTGCTTTTTTTCGATAAAATCTAGTAAACAGTGCCGTTCTTTATTTATTTACTTTCTTTTTCGTTTATGTGCAATAATACATTGATATTTTTATTAAAATAACCAGTTTTGTTAAACAAATATAATCATGGATGAAAGTTGTATGATATATCTGTACATATTGACTTTTCATTGCACACAACTTCTTGTTATACTTAAGTGCGAACATTTCAAACTCTGTTTTTAGATATATTTCAAAAATGAGTTTATCATCGTCCGACATGAATACATCCAAACTAGACACCGCTCAGCGTCAGCAAATTATGTCTACTGTACAGCAGCAATTAGCTATTCAAAATGCTCAAGAACTTCTTCAGGTAAACTATTTTCCATCACATTGTTGTATGGCATGATATCGAATATGGTATGTTTTAGAAATTATCTGATAAATGTTTTAAAATGTGCATATCGAAGCCCGGTGGAAGTTTGTCAAATCCAGAACAGGTACTTATAGTAAAGCCTATTTCGTTGTGAATTAGTTTCCTCTTTTTTTTAGAAATGTATTAGTTTATGTATGGATCGTTATATGGATGCATGGAATATTGTCAGTAGAACATACGCTGAGAGAATAAAACGAGAACAAAATCGAATGTGAGCTATTAGATTAGCATTGTTTTGTAACATCTTTTTTCTTTTTATTAGGTCTATATTTTTTGTACTACTTTTTTTTGTCTGAAGTAGTTTGCAATAAATTTCAGATAAAAACAACTCTCTTTTTTTCGTAATTCACTGATAATCTAGGAAGGTATGATAGAGATTAGAAAATGCAGAAAATCAGGCGATGCCTCGTCCTAGTCTATCTCTGACTGGACATGCTTGATATAACTCTTGTCCTGGACGTTTCTCTGATCCATTCCAGATGGTCAAAGTCTGCAAAAATGTCAAACGATCAACATCGCCAATTCTATCATCAACAAGTTTAATACAATCACAAATTCGTTCTACTACAATGGAAGTATTACCAAATAAAAAACATTGTTCTTTGAAAGAAAAATCTTTGCGTAAAGTTAAAAGTGAATATGA